CATAACCTCTGGGAGAATTTGAGATAAGTGGCCTATTCAAGGCCAAGTGGGGTAGCCAGATTTGATAATGACATGTTTTGGGACAGGCTGACTCGGAATGATTTTTTTGTGTCTGTCTTCAAAAGTTCTGCTGGTACTTCTCAATGGTGAATCCAAAACAGCCAGATTTGTGGTCATTCCGCCGGGCCGTGCTTGTAGCCTTCCCCAAGGTCGAATCCTTCACGCCAACGAGTTCCAGAAGCCGCAAGTGGCCTTCAATTCTAAGAAATCATGTCCAGCTTACGGCTTAGCTCAAAAAGCAATTGAGTCTGGGCGCTTGAAGCACATGGCAGGCAGCTTCGAAATTGCCAGATCCGCTGTCGACGACTTCCGAATTTGTCAATAAGCCAAAAACCCGCCAATTCCAAAAAGCAGAAATCCCAATATCATAAGTCCAGTTATGTATATGTCTTCTACGTCCTCAACGGACAATACAGAGAGACACACCATCTTCTACTGGCCCCAGGAATCCCTGGTATATCCCAAAGTGAATGTCCCTTCAGGGCATGAGGGCTCTCCTTCTCCCTGTCTTCTCGTTGAGACAATTTTATCAGTTGCGTTGAGAGACCAGCCGACCAAATCCATGATTTACAGTTTAGAAGATATGTAGAGAGAGGCTCTAATAAAGTTCACAGGACAAGAGAGCAAAGAGCAGGAGGGAGGCAGGAGTGGGTGAAGTGACTGTCTTCATCGAGAGCAAACAGGAAGCAGTGGAAACAACATGTATCCAGTCTGTTTCCACTGAGCCCATAAATATTTCAACTTTGTGCTTTTAATATCATCAGCCAAAGACTTTGATGTCATCTGACCCAAAGACCTAGCATTCCTTAATTTAATCCACTTTTCAGGCGAGGTTTTATTCTAAGATCATCTTGTGCAGAGAAATGATGGAGTTGGATCATTTGTGGTCAGATATTAAAATTGAGGTTATGTGCAACAGAATGCAGCATCTTTAGGTGTCAGAGTTTTAGCTCTATATCTGTAAAACTGGGTGAGTTATAGCCATTTTTGTGTTGGCTAATGTTGATTAGCTGTGCTCGCTCCCTCACTATCCATCCTTTGGTTCAAACAGTCTTATACTGCCATCCAGTGGTCAAAAAATGTACTACACAAAAATTGACCAACATTTCTTCTTAAATTTGACAATAATTACTAAGTATTGTCACATTTCAAACAATATTATCGTTCATCGCAATAATTTTTGAGCCAATTAATCGCCCAGAAAATTTTATCGTGACAGGCCTAGTATTTATAAATGGACTGTACTTATTTAGCACCTTTCTATCTTATTTCAAGATACTCAAAGCGATTTACACTACAATCTGTGCCTCATTTACCCATTCATACAGCACTCTACTAGATCACTACAAAGCTAATTGAACAAATCATTCTAAAGAGACTAATCAGTGCTTTAGATCACATTCATACACCGATGGCACACACATCAGAGGCTATGAGGGGTTCAGTGTCTTGCCCAGGGACACTTTGACATGCAACTGCTGGTGGATTCGAACCCCCAACTCTCGTATTAGAGGACGACTGCTCTAACCACTCAGCCACAGCTGTATTTATGTATTTATATCTGATAAAAACATGAAAGAAAATAAAAAAATGTTTCAGTAAACATGTTTAAACATGAACTTTACAAGCGTACGCTAGAATTATCCATCTATCATCATCTGTACCCTCTTCTTTCTTTTTGGTTTTCTTCCATGTTCAAAAAAATAATAATTTCAGTGTTTACCTGCAGAACTTTTCATGCACAGGTCTCCAGGTGGGATTTGATCCTGTGACCTTTTCGCTGAGAAGAAACAGCTCTATCGACTGAGCCACTGTGCCACTGTGCCACTTCTTTTTAAAAAAAACTAAAACAGACGAAAAAAAAAGAAAATTCTCAACGGTGCCTTTGAAAACAAATACTTATTGTCTCAAAATATTTCTTAATGAATGCATTGAATCAATTTCATGACCCTTTGGGCCAGAAAACCTTATTAAAACTCAACTGTGTGGTTTCTAACAGTCCAGTACACAAGAGCCTGTGAGTAAACAAACAGGACTCCTCCAGTCCCTCGGTTGGTTTTGGAGGGCCATGCTCTTTAATAACGGCAGGATGATGTCTGAGTGTGTGCACGGAGAGACAGGCAGTGGCAAAAAGACTCCTGTGACTGACGTTAAGATTATTGAAATGCACCTGGAAAGTAAACTAATTTCCTCGGCGGGTCAGAGGACTGGTTATGGTAATAAAAAGAGAGATGTCATTAGATCCAGAGGTATTTGAAGTGCTCTCTGGTGTGGGAGGAAGCAGAGGGGATGGAGTGTTTGAAAGATTGAAACAACAAGAAATAAAAAAGGTGTGTGTGTTTTTCAGTCTGCTTCCCTGCCACTATCTCTGTCTCCTCTGAGGATAGTTATTCATGAGCTTGACCTACATGCGCCCGAGCTTGTGTGCATGTGTGAGCGTGTTTGTCAACCCGTGCAGGAGTAAGTGCTAAGGTTCTGGTCCACTCTCCAAGATTCACCAACCACTTTCACGGCGTGAACCAAAACCACCCGGTTCTGTACTTCCTCCCACAACAGAGGGCAATCTTTACATCATCGTAGCCTCAGCTGTGTTTATGTCTTTTTTTACCGGAACTGTAGCGTTTCTGCTGCTGCACAGTTTATCTCCTGCACATCATCTCAGAAAAGATAAATAGGTTTAAAGAAAAGGAAACAACGGCAAATAAAAAGGCACATGTAGTTGAAATCAGCTTCTATAAAGCATGTCTTTGATATATTGCTGCTGAGATGCTGCCGATTCCTTTTATCATAAGCGTGGCGGCCTCCCTGTCCAAACCGATGGATCATAATCAAGCGAAATGCGAGTGGTCTCCTAAGCAACGATGAGCGAGCGAATCCAAAGAAAGCTTGGACATGTTTAGCCTCTGATGTCCCTTTGGCGTCCTTTAGCAAGGGACAGACCTAGTTGGTAAACATGAGCGGACTGAGTTGCAGTTTACTGATGGTTCATAACGGTGGTTCGGAGTAATGACACCACATTTGCATGATGGAGCGTCGTGAATTGTGGATTTTATTTACAGCTTGCTGAGCCTTTTCTCCTCTGTAATGAACAAGGATATTGGAACATGAAATAAGGCTGTTAACTGAAATTGAAAATAGTGGCTCAAGTATTTGAGCAGGTTGTCTACTAATCAAATTGAAGGTTTGATTCCTTCTGTGCCAGCAGTACACATATGACATCTATAAGTTCTGGTTGTTTGAACCGCACAAACAGATGAAATGGACCAAACTTGTGCCTGAATTGACATCTGTGAGAAGATGGATGTACAGTAATTCCTATTGTTTTTCTCTGAAAAATAAACAATTTCTTTATTTGTTTCCATAGACTAAGACGACGTCTACAAAATGCTCCTTTTCCTTCCCTTCTAGAATTGCACCGCTCAAGGTGGCTGCATGTTGGAGTAGCTCTCTTACCTTTTGTTTTTGAAAACTTTTAATTCCTCTTTTTTCTGGATGTAAATTGCTTTTTTCAGATGATTACTTCCTCTGGTATCAGATGCTGTGCAGCTGGGAGGATTTTTACTGAAACCTTTTTACTTTTGGACATTTGTTATGAAGCGTAACCATGACAACAAGATAGTTTTCTACACTGCTGAATAGCATCTCAAAAGCTAAAAAAAACAATAACAAAAAACCCCTCAACTACAGCTCCAAACCCCAAATGAATTGAAAAGGAGGTGCCGTGGATGCATTCCAGTCTACCTGGAGGCGGTGCTTGAGTGCCTGACTGCAGAGATCCTGGAGGTAGCGGGAAACACGGCTCGGGACGGAGAGAGGACCGGGATCATCCCAAGGCAGCTGCAGTTAAGTCCGTGGGGACGAAGGGCTCGGCAGGCAGCTGGGAGGAATGGCCATCGCTCGTGGAGGAGTTCTGACCGGCATTCAGGCAGTCTTGCTGCCCAAGAGGACTGAAAGGTCTGCTGGGTCCGGGTGAACCGATCGAATCTGCAGCCAGTTTTTTTGGATCCAGTGTGGGATGTTCTGCTACAAGAGATCCTTCCTGCCCACAACCATCAGCAAAATAATAATTAATCTATAACAACTCTGATGAATTCAGGATGATGAGCTACAACAACAATTAGTTTCCCTTTGGGCTTAATAAAGTATTTTTAAATTGAATTTGGTAATTTGGAGGAATATTTCATCTTAATGAATGGGTTTAAATGTAAATCAACGGTAAAGAGTGTTGCCAGGTAATTTTCTGCAGATTCTCCAATGTCTGAGCTCCAAGAAAGTTAAACAAACGTGTATGTGTACATTTTTAGTTTGCAATGAAAAATGTTTCCTTTTGAGAAAAGCTTATTAGAAGTGGTATTATTAGTACAGCTGGAAATGCATTGCCACATCCAGTTTTATTGCACAAAGGGATAAACCACAGAACAAAAATAAACCCTACAAAGTAACTACAGAAATGTTTCAATATAAAGAAATAATTCAATGTTAACAAGGAAAGGCCTAAAAGAATGCATATGTCATGCAGCCTTCCATGCCAGCCTAAAATCTGAAAAATGATGGATTTGCAGCACCAAGCAGCGAATGACTCTCAGCTACCACCACATGAACTTTTAGCCTCCAGTCTGTAAAATTCACAGAGCTATAGTCACTTTTCTTATGACTTATGTTGATTAGCTGTGGCAGCCATCTTAAACTGAACTAACTCCAAAAGGTAATACAGGTACATTCTCTGATTACTTCCTGAAAAATGGCTCATGAGATATTTTGCTAACAGACACATGAACACACAGTCTAAAGCATCATTGGAGCAGGAAGTGATGATTATGGGTCGGTGTTTAGAAAGGATTCAGCTGTATGTACCACCTTCCAGGTGTGTTTGGATGCTATACTCTTGAGATGCATCTTCATCCTGACTCCCCCCTCCTCTCCTCCTCTCTTCATCTCAGGGCGTCCAGAGGTGGTGGAGTCCGTTCCAGACGACCTCACATACAACGTGAGCCGCCAGCTCACCCTGGAGGTGAGCTCCGGAGACGACAACATCCCCATCACCTGCGCAGTTGACCACCCCTCTCTGGCCCCGGGGGACAAGCGGAGCGAGCAGGCCCTGCGGGTGTTGTGTGAGTCACGGGGGAAATGATGGGGAGCGGGGTGGGTGAGGGAGGAGAAAGTACAGCAGGCACTGAAGGAGGGAAATTATTGCGACCTCCTTCTTCTGTGACTCCCTCCCAGAACTTCTCTTTACTGGTCACGTTCTCCTCCTGAAGTTTTGTCCTATAAATCCAGTCACACCAGTCTGTAATGATGACCCCACAGGAGTGTCACCTTTTCCCTTTTGTTGCACTCAGCCAGAGCTGAATCACTTCCCAGTTTGTCAGGTTCAGAGTCTGTGCCAGTGCTGCCCCCTGTGGACAAAGCTCTGGTACTGCATGAGGGAGGGAAGCAGATTGTGTAAGGCGGTTATGTCATAGTGGGAGGCAGGGGGGTGAGGCCGCCTACAGAATTCACATGCTGGAGATTGAGATGTGTGTGAATGATTCTGTTCTGTGTCTGTGTGGTTGTAATTCGTGTGATATGTAACTGCGGCATGTCTGGGTCTTTTTACAGATTCCCCCGAGGTTCATATCAGTCCGGACGAGATGCTGCCGATAGAGGGGCAGAAGTTTTCTCTTCGGTGTTTGGGCAAAGGCAACCCGGAGTAAGAATAACAACATTCATAAGCACACAGTCATAGTTTATTAACATTAATGAATGAAAAAAAACATATTTATACTGCTCGAAAAGTATAAATAATGCAAAGATCTACTGAACACCATGTCTATGAGAATCGTTCTCTGCTCTGTCACTACAGGTGTTAAATACTTAAATAAGCATCTTTTTATTAACATATTTTCAGAGTGAACTTGATGTCGTGAAGCGCTTCTGTCACTTTTGTGCATTTAAGTCAGAGCGATCCTCCCAGCAGGAACTGGCAGCAGCTTTGAGAGCTCAGCTGTGACTCTGAATGTTACGTCCTCACTGGAAGACTTGTTTAATTAACGCCTAGCATTCCTTAAAAGAATCCACCCACCGCCCAAACTCTCAGAATGTGTGTTTGAGACGACGATAAACTACTACCATACCAAAACTGTGCTCGGTATCTCTAAAATCTTCTGAGTTATAGTCATTTTAGTGTTTGCTGTGGCAGATTTATTGAACTGGGTTGACTTCACTTGTAGATGTACGTCTAATAACTAATTTCTGAAAGCTTTATTAAAATTTGTTTAGTGATTCATGAGAACATTCTGTAATGTTACAGACAAAAGCACGCAGACACTGACAGACTAAAATAATTTCTCTTCGCCTTTGGTGTTGGGCAACGAAGACAAACATTTAAATTCTGATCGTTTTCGTCAAAAAGCAGCTGTTTTTTAGAGCTAAATTGGTTTTGTTTTGGTTCTGATTGGAAAGAAGACAGAATAAGCAGCAGATAAAAATCCTTCTTGTTACTGCAGACAGTCTGAATCACCTTCCCATTAAGATTCATCTGAACACAAAATCTAAGCAGATTCATCTTTGGAAAATAAAAATGTAATGTGTAACGATTCCCTACTCTGAAACATCAACAAGCACAAATAAAATATTTGTAAAGTTGACCCAGTTTTATTGGGCTCAGTAAGTTTAAACATGCATTCTGCATGCTGAAGTCACGCCATCACGAGGTGGTGAATATTTATATGTTAGGAGGAACAGTTTAAAGCATGACACTGAAGGCAAAAGACAAGCTTTACTTCAGAAAGAAGATTTAAGGTTTCAAAAACCAGGTGAGAAAAACAAATTACAAGGAGCAGCCAGAGGTAGAACCCAGAATCAATAAATGAACCAAACAAGAAGCTGATAATTCTGCAAAGCAACAGCGTTTAGCCTAAAGGAAACCTCACCAGTGTGTTGGACGAGTTGAGATAAATAATAAAGGCCTGGGCAAAATCAAAAGATCAGGTTCAAACCCTGACAGACGGAGACATGAGCCGTTTTATACATGAGCAAATCTGTGAAAGTTTCAAAAAGGTTATAAAAAGGATTTAATGAGACGCCGTCGTGTCCGGATATGTTGCCTGGAGACAATGCGCCATGTCTGTGGAAAAAAATAAAATCCTCTCTTTGTTGTGACAAAACAATAGTTTTACATTTCAGATAATAACTGACATGAACATGCACGTTGCCATAAAAACAGCTGGAACAAATACAAGTAGCCAGATTCTGTCACTTTAAACTTAAATTTCTCTGAGTGTATACAGAAGTCCTTCATTTATCACTGGGGATCCGTACCCTGAAGCCCCGCGATGAGTGAAAAACCACCAAGTACGCATAGTAATACAAGTAGCAAGTACCGTATGTTTCGGATTATAAGACGCACTTAAAATCCTGTAATTTTCTCAGAAATCGACAGTGAGCCTTATAATCCGGTGCGCCCTATATATTAATTCTGGTTGTGCTGACCTCTAACCGATTTTGTGGTTATTGTGAATGAGTTGAATAAAGTTTGACTCCCTTCCCACACTCTTGCAATATTCTAAACAGCGTTTCTAAACTCTAAATGCGCTAAAAGAGCACAGATTGTCATGATTTCAGCTCCCTGCCTCCGGCTGCACTCTCGGCCACGCCCACTTCTCCGCTCTGCACGGAGATCAGCTGATCAGCTGCAGGAGGAAGCTCTGCACACAGGTGCTAAATCATTTAAAACAATTGATTTTAAATTTAAAAAATGTCCATGCCTATTGTGCGGCTCATCCATCAGTCAGACATTGTGTGTCGTGTCCAATCTTACTTTGAAAAACTGAGAAAGAGCAAGTCCGTGAAACATAAAGTAGCGAGGAACTACTGTACATGTATACAAAAATACATTCAAGGGATGTGTCTGTTTAAGAAATGTGATGCATTAGTGACAATTCTCAATATGAAGTTTTCATGCATATTACCATAGTTAAGGTTTAGTTTTGTCTAGCTCATAAATATTTGGAAAATAGTGATACACGTTTTGTTTAAGTGTGTCACCATGTCAATGCCACACATGTTTTAGGACATGTAACAGTTTACCTTCTGAGACATCTGGAATGCCATCGGTTTCTAAAAATTATATAATTTCTTAGTTTCGACGTGTGATACATTTCCTGTGCTCCATTGTGAGTAAACCAGTGCAGCTGAATGAAGTTTGCAAATCAGTGTATTCTGTTTTTATTTACATTTTACACAATGCCAAAACTTTTGGGGGCAAATTGAGGATTTACAATTGATGTGTATGAATTTTTTAGTACTACAAGTAGTTTTAATAAGCTTCTAAATTACAAAATTTAGTTTGATTTAGATTCATGCTGCCTTTCAGTCTGTAATGAAACATGTGGATAAATCCTCTCCCAGTAAAACACTGGGTGTTGCACTAATTGACACTTTGGCCCAGCTCATCCAATCCTCATAGCTTTAGAGGCTGTTACATCAACTTATAAAAAAGACCAGACCCTTGTAAATACTCTCAAATATATTTAATTCCATAGCAGGTAGAAAATCGAGGGTGCATAACACTAAAATTAAGGTGTAAAATTTTAAAATAAGCAAATAATTCTAGAAAAAAGCTTGTTCAAACGTGCATAATTCTCACTTTGGATAAAGATCACGGTCTCTATCCTTGTTATAAGTCAAATTTTCTTAAATGATGCATAAAACATCTTAAAATCAGCTTAATGAAGGAGGCATAACACTTGAATTAAGGTCTAAAATCCTAAAAAATAAGCAAAAAATTCTTAAAATTAGCTTGTTCAAGAGTGCATAGTTCTCTATCTCTTTTCTTGTTATGTCAAAATTTCTTGAAGCATAAATTATAATGAATTTATAATAATAGAGTAATTATATATTATTTTAATATTAGAGTTTTTCTTCTCAGCCAAGAAGACAAACTGATAGGAATGTTTTTGCCTCCAATTCCTACATGTGTCCAGTTTCACGACTTTGTGTCTGTCTAAACAGATCTCACTTGTAAATGAGTCTTCTAGGCTCAATGTGACTTATCTGTCTAAATAAAGGTTGAATGAATGAATAAAAAAAATATTAAAATCAGATTAATAAAGGGGGGATAACACTCATTCTAAAAAAATGGTTCTTAAGGAAAGCAATCTTTGCTTGTAAGAAGTGCGACTTTCTTTAATTTTGGACAATATAATTTAGTTTAGACACAAAGTAGTTAAATTCATTTGCAAGTTTTAAGAATTCTAGCCAGGCAGAGTTTGCTTACCCAATTGGCAGACGTTTTTATTCTTTTCTCAAAACAAGAAAATTTGGTCACGTTTAGGAATATTTGACTTATTTCAAGTCGTGCTGTTTTTGCAGCATTAACACAAACAAATCCTGTCAAAGTGCGCACGCGTGTCGCGGGTGCAGGAAGCAACAGTTCAGGAACATTTGTAAGCATGCTCACATGAACGTTCGGTTTCTGACAGCTCTTGTTCAAACACGCCGAGCAAAAAGACACCTGTTTGTACAAGCTCTCGTGTTTCCACTCATATGGTGTGTACACAGCTTCTCTGATGCCGACGCGCACGCCGTCTTAAATCCTGCCCACACAAATACACTCTTCCCCGGCCTTTCTGCATTATAGATGAACCTTCATCGATCCACGCGCCCATCCTCCGGCTCCCCTTCCTTCTCCCTGCTCTCTTCCCTTCATCAGCCGAGATCTCGCTGCTCGTCACTCACACCTGTTTGCCGCCGACTGTCGTGTCACGATGTCCCTCTGTCCTCCCCCATAACTCTCCTCTCTCTCTGATCACCTTTTCACCCTCAACTCTCCCTCTCTCCTCCTCATCCTCTTAACTCAGCTTCTTGTCCTGTCATCCCTCCTCTGTTCTGTCAGCTCATCACTGGAGGGGTTGGGAAGAACGGCTAAGTTTGACTGTCAGCTTAAAAAGAGAAGGTGTTGGAGGGGAGGTGGAGACTGTCACTGCATGTATGAGTCGATAAATTCAACACAGTTAAGATAGGTGGGCCACAGTCTGGGGACCAGATATGTAGAAAATCTATTTGTGATACAATGGTACTGTGGATGAAAGCATCCGGTGAATTATGGATGCTCTACATGACGAATAGCCCTGTTCTACGGAGATAAATGGCCCTTTCCTGCCATAATGGACTTGTCAGCGCCGGAGTTCAGAAGACTTTAAAAATATCCCCAAAATATATAATAATTTATAATGCGCTGACAAGAATTAGATAAAAGCGAGTGCGTTTAATAAAATAAGAGTTTGGAGAAGGCGAGAGGAGTTAAAGACGTAAAATGCGAGGAAGTATAAACTAACAGGGAAGGGAGAGGAGGTGTGTAGTGAAGCAAAGCGGCGTGTGGGTGGAAAGGAGACAAAAAGAAATGGTGACAAGCAACAAATGACCAGGACAGACAGTGGGAGAGAAAACAAGACAAACCCTGTGTGTCTGTGCATGTGTGTGTGTGTGGTGGGAGAAATGCTCAGTTGTGTGCACCGCCGCATGTGGATGAGCTGGCGTCCAATCAAATCAGATCCAGGTTGCCCCTGCAGCTGCCAGTCAAAACCCAATCACCGTGACAACACAGTTTTCTCCGACACACCCAGCCATTCAGCTCCTTCTCCTCCCGTCGAGCTCATCCGCCCCCCCCCCCCCCCCCCCCCCATCAAACTCAATAAATGTCACACTCCA